ATGGCCTATGACCGCTACGCGGCCATCTGCGAACCTTTGCACTATACCCAACTCATGAGTAAGTGGGTGCGAGTCCCTCTGGCTATGGCTTCGTGGGTCTGGGGCATGATTGACTCTGCCGTTCACACTGCCCTGGCCACTGATTTGGCCTTTTGTGGAGACGTCAAGATACATCACATCTTCTGTGATGTTCCTCCACTCTTGAAAATTGCTTGTAGTGACACCTATATTAACGAGGTAGCTCTTCACACAGCCAGTGCCATTGCTGGCCTGTGTCCTTTTGTCACTGTCATCATTTCCTACGTCTACATCTTATCTTCAATTTTGAAGATCCGTTCTAACACTGGAAGGAGAAAGACCTTCTCCACCTGCGCTGCTCACTTGATTACTGTCATCCTGTACTTCGGGATGATCAACTTGAATTACAACCGTCCCAGTGCAGGCTATTCCTTGGAGGTGGACACTCTAGTTTCCACCCTGTATTGTGTCATCACCCCCATGCTGAACCCCCTCATCTACAGCCTCCGAAACAAGGAGGTCAAAGGGGCCCTACAAAAACTTCTGAATGGTTCATAAAAATGAAATGGAGTATTATTTGGCCTGGGATGCCTGGTATATCTGGTTAGACAATAGACATAAAAGTAACATAGTAATTAATATATGAATATGAATGTTGACGATGCTGCAATGTTGTTGGAAATGTAAATATGTTTTTAAATTGTTGGAAAATGCTTAATAAAATTTATTGTTAAAAAAAATAAAAGAAAGGTGAGACACAGAAAAAAAACTGCTGAATGGTTAGGACAGTGTTTTTCCCAACCTTGGCAACTCGAAGATACGTGGACTTCAATTCCCAGAATTCCCCAGCCAGCATGTCAACCTCTGAACCAGAACCTCCTTAACCTTGGCAACTTGAAGATGTGTTGACTTCAACTCCCAGAATTCCCCAGCCACAGAGAAAGCCCTACTTATTTCTTTTCAATGGGAGTCTATTGTTGTGTCTTGCATGGAGTGATGAGGTATGGAGGATGATTGTCCCAAAGGTGCTTTTTCCAAGAGGCAGCTGGACTTTCTTTGTTTTTTCCTTGAAGACGTTTCGCTTCTCATTCAAGAAGCTTCTTCAGTTTTGATTGAATGATGGAAGATTGAAAGATTAATATGCCTTCCAGTCATCCTATTGTTAGAGAGTCATTGAGGCCACTTGGAGGTTTATATGTGCCCTCAGCGGTCAAGTACAACAAGACTTACCTCCTGTTTACCACACAGTCCTTTCAGCAGTTCCACACCATTTTGCATCTGATTCAGGTGACCCTGAGGTCACAGATAAACCTCCAAGTGGCCTCAATGACTCCCAGAGAAAGTGCTAATGGCCAGATGACTGCAAGGAACATAAACCCTTCCATTGCCCATCATTTGGTCCAAACCGAAGAGGCTTCTTGGATGAGAAGCAAAATGTCTTCAAAGAAAAAGAAAGGAAGTCCAGTTGCCTTTTGAAAAAGCATCTTTGGTACAGCCAAGAATTTTGCTTAGAATATTCAAATGGATCCATGGAATCAAACAAAACAATCAACGTATCAGGTTAAATCCAAGAATTATGTGGAACAGCAAAACCAGAGTTCAGTTATGTATTTGCTTACACAAATCAGACAGAATCTTGCCAGAGTAAACTCTTACTATTAGCATAGCACTTTTATTTTTTATATTATGTTATGTTGTGTTATGTATTATTCTATAATTTTATATTATTATTTTATTTATTTTACTTATTTTATTATTTTATTTTATTTTATTACTTTATTTTTATGCTGGTCATCTCACCTGGTGAAGGCTCTGAGAGGCTTATTTTCATTAAGAAGCTGATTAAAAACATTAAAACATCAACAACAGATGTATTTGAATCCAGAATTTTCTACTTTTTTTTTGCACATCCATCAAGCACGAGAATTTCCAACATGAATTTGATGAGCCCTTATACACTCTAGAGTCTAGACAATTTCTCTGGTGACATAAACCAACAGTGCATTAATTTATAAAAATTCTCTTTTGCAGTATCACATGGTCCATATTTCAGTCTCTTCTGGCACCTATTTTTCAATCCTTCCATACATATATTGGAACCAAAAATTTCAACCCATTTTTATAATTGTTGTTCTGTTTCAAATTTCAGTAAAAAAATACTGTATATGCTTTTCAGCAATTGCATTTTCATAATTTGTTCCCAGTCCTGTTTCAAACTCAGTTCTACATTTAAAACCATTGATTACTTTGCCTGTGTCATGCCCCCGTCAGAGTCTGACTGAGGAAGAAGATGAACAGCCATCAGTGGGTGGGCTTCATTGGCTGTGGAAGAAACTGGGGAAGGGCAAAGTCAGGCTGGGCAGAGCAGGGAAGAGGTAGAACGAGAGAGGGAGCTCAAAGGAAGACCCAGGCCTCCCCCCTCTTCATCCTATGGCACACGGGGAAGAAGGGAAAAGAGAGCAACGTAGGTGGCATGGCTTACAAGGGAGGAAAGGGCCCTGATTCCCTTCACAAGGCACACCTGGGAAGGGAGTTTAAAGGAGAGGCAGATGGGAGCGGTGGTTGTCAGGAACAAACACTGTGTTGACTGCTGTTATCTGAGTTCCTGGCATAATCTCAACTGGTTTAATTTATTGCCGTGTTACTTCACTTCTGGAACTCCTTATCTTGCCCTGTGGATTTATTACCTTATCTTGTCTTGTTGGATTTATAGTTTAAAGTTTTCTGTTTACAACATTTGGACTGAAATATCTGCAGCCAAAGGCAGGTTCGTGGGTGAGTTTTTCTCCAGACCAGAGAGTAACTGGGACATTGGGGCAAAGTTGGAGCTAATAAAGGGACTCATACTTATTCTCTGGCTGTGTTGCCTTCGTGCCACACCCCAGGTGTCACAGCTTACTTTAAATCTTCCTAATAGTCCTCAACTTACAACAGTTTGTTTAATGGCCCTTCAAAGATACAACAACACTGAAAAGAGTGACTTAGAATCATTTTTTTGTCCGTCACAACTTTCCTCATGGTCACGTGACCCAAATTCAGATGCTCAGCAACGGACTCATATTTATGACGGTTGCCATATCCCGGGGTCACGCGATCCCCTTTTGCAAACTTCTGACAAGCGAAGTCCATGGAAAAGACAGATTCACTTAACCACCATGTATTAACTTAACAACTGCTGTGATTCACTGTGGCAAGAAAAGTCATACAATTGAGCTAAACTCACTTAACAACTGACTCAGCAGCAGAAATTTTGGGCTCAATTGCAGTCATAAGTCGAGGTCTACCTGTAGCTGTACATATGAGAATCACTGACAACTATATTCCTCTACAACCAGGGGTAGGATTCCAAAATCCCAGCAACCGATTCACTGCCCGGTTGCTGGGTGGGCGTGGCCATGGTGGGTGTGGCCTACCAGAACTTCCAGCAGGGCCATTTTCACCTTCCCCAGAGTCCGGAGGCTTCCCTCGGGCCTCTGAGAGGGAGAAAACGGCCTCCCTTGGGCTCCCGAGGCCCGCTGGAAGCCAGAAACAGGCCCGTTTCCAGACTTCCAGAACTTCCGGGAGGTCAGTATTTGCCCCACCCCCGGAGCCTCTGCATGGACCCTGCACTTACCTGCATCCAAAACGGACCACATGGGGACTCCTGGGATGGGTGGGGCAGGCGGGGCCGGTCAGTTGGTTCAACTACCGGTTTGGCAAACGAGATGTAAATTTAACATCCGGTTCACCCAAACTAGCCCGAACTGGCTGAATCCCACACTTGTCTACAACCAGTTCTTTTCTTGGTTTTATTTTAATTCCCCTTGACAAAATTCTAGTATCTCATGATAAGGTTAACCATTTGTGTTTGCCCAGTATTCCTCCTCAACAATTTCCCCTAAATGAAATAAAATCTTTAAAATACTTTGCATTGCTGTGTTTATTTGAGCCCCAAATCCCTCCATCAAATTGTCATCCAGACGTTCCTTCCATGGGACTTACGCTAATCCTAACTCTGCAGTCACACAACCCAGCAGTATAATTGTGTTGGACATCGTTGTGGGGAGAAGCGTTTGTAATGGTTGACCTTTCCATAATGGGAAACAAATGATTCCTCAACCCTGAGCAATATTTGGATTACGTGGAACCTAGAATTATAGGGCAGGAAGGGACCTCAGAGATCTTCTAGCCCAACCCCTGCTCAAGGCAAGAGACCTTGTACCATTCTGGACAAATGGTTGTCCAATCTTTTCTTGAAACCCACCAGTGATGGAGCACGCACAACTCTGGGAGGAAGGCTGATCCGCCTCTCTCTCTTCCTCCCTCCCCCTCTCTCTCATCTATCTATCCATCCATATCTGTCTGTCTATCTATCTATCTATCTATCTATCTATCTATCTATCTATCTATCTCTATCATCTATATATCTATCATCCATTCTATCTATCTATCATCCATTCTATCTATTTATTCTATCTATCTATCATCCATTCTCTATCTGTCTATCTGTCTATCTATCGATCATCTATATATCTATCATCTATTTTATTTATCTATCATCCATTCTATCCATCTATCCATCCATCTATCTATCTATCTATCTATCTATCTATCTATCTATCTATCTATCTATCTATCTATCTATCTATCTATCTATCATCCTATCATCTAGCTAGCTAGCTAGCTAGCTATATCTATCTATCTATCTATCTATCTATCTATCTATCTATCATCTATCTATCTATCATCCTACCATCTATCTAGATATCTATCTATCTATCTAGCTATCTAGCTATCTAGCTATCTAGCTCTATCTATCTATCTATCATCATCATCCTATGTATCATCCATTCTATCTATCATCCTATCATCTAGCTAGCTATCTAGCTATCTAGCTATATCTATCTATTTATCATCCTATCATCTCTCTCTATATATATATCTCTATCTCTATCTATCTATCTATCTATCTATCTATCTATCTATCTATCTATCTATCATCTATCTATCT